TTAGAAAAGTTCACTAACTAATGTGAAAATATTACAATCCTAATCTCGCCTTTTCAACTACTAGGAAACTAAAACAAAATTTAAACAATCCAAAACAAAAAGCAAATTAGGTCACTGTTTGAAATAAAAATACAAAAATAACTTAAACAAACAAAAATAAAATACAAAAACAGCTGTTTAGGTTCATTCTTCGGCCTCTTCCTCTCCCTCAGTATCGTCCTTTTTTGAGTCAGAGCCCATCCATTCTTCTGAATCCCAGTTAGGCCATTGGAATTCCGAAGTATCAACGTTGAGCTTGGTGAAGCAACTGTTCTGCAGGTCATACATCATCTGGGTCTGCTCTGCCAGCCAATCCTAACATTTTGCCATCCGTTTCATCTGACCCAGCATCTGCTGCATCATTTCCTTCATAGTGGCTGTGGAACTGGATGATGTGGCAGTGCCTTGTGTGGTTCTCTGTCATTTTGTCCCGACGCTGGGTTGCTCATTGGGTTGCTCACTAGGTTGACACTTAAGTAGCTTGCGATAGTAGGCTGTGTCGAGAGCTGGGGTAGCATGGATAAGTGGTTCATCTTTAGTCTTCTCAACCCCTGCTCGAATGCACAACTCTGTAATGAGATGTGGGAATGGAAAACTGCCTCGCCTTGATTGAGCTGCATTCTTAATACTATTCAGGATAATGTTTCCCACATCTATTTTCTTTCCTGTGGCAATGGAATGGAGTAACAATGCCTTCTCATAAGTCATTGTGCTATAATGCATTTCCGGCATCATCCTTGCACTCATAAAGTATTGCCACAACCTAGCTATCGGTGTCAGATTGGTTCCCTTGATACTTTTCTTTCCTTTTTTTGAAATCTCCCAAGTGGTATCTGGTTTTGTTATGACCGGAAGTATCACATTATCTTCAAACTGTGTATTCCTGAATTCCTCATGCTCATCACGGGTAATTTGAGGCAAATCAAAGAAATCATTGATCATCTTTGCATCAAATGACACATCAATGCCCCTCACAAACACATGACCAGAATCACAATCAAGGAGGTTGGCGTAAAACTCTCTTACTATCGGCTCTACGGTCACATTTGCAGGTTCATCCATAAATGCATTCCACTTTCGCCCTACACTCCACTCTTCAGCATAAACAGTGGTCAACCCCCGCTCGACAATAAATCCTTTATCTTTCCTTTGGATGGCCCCTTCATATCGTTTCCGAGCCTTCTCATTAATAAATCGGTCATCTATCTTCTTCCCTTTTCCTTTACCCTTGGAAAGTACTTTAAGTGGCCCTTTCCCCAATCTACTATTCAACTCTAAGCACCCTGCAAATAACCACAATCAATCTTGCAAAACCACGGCACTTCCAAAAATCGCACCTAGACCTCCAAAATTACTCTTCTTCTAAAATCAACCAAATACTCCAAAATTCAAAATCCACACTCCTCAACACCACAACAATCAAGATCTACACTTCTTAAATCACAATCAAAGCACAAACACCACAAAAAGTTCCACAACTCACGCAACAATCCAAATCTCAGATTCAACTCAAAAATATCGAAATTGATCAATAAAAAGTTTGGAGAACTCAAAATCTTACCAATCCCAAGAAGTATTTACCACCAATTTCATCAATTGCGGCTCAAATGGCTAGATCCCCAAATTTTGAAAACCAAGGGTTTCCAAAATTTCTTCAATCTTTGCAAAAATCGTTGTTAAAATGAGTTGTTTTGGTGTTTGAGAGGGTTAAGCAATGAGGAAAAGTGATGGGAATGTGCTGAAAAGACTCTGGATTGAAGTAGGAAAAATTTTGCTCTCGAATGTGTTTTGAACTTTTGCGTGAAAAATGAAAAGTCGCGTGGGTATTTATAAAAAGCAGACTTTGCCGCGGCGAAGTTATGAATTCACAAATAAAAATTTTTCAACCCAGTCGACGCCGCGGCGAAAAAATCCATTGCATACAGCGCCTCGGCGAAGAAACTTCTTCACCGCGACAAACTTTCCTTAGCCAATTTCGCCCAACTTTCTTCGCCGAGGCGAAAACAAATTCTTCGCCGCGGCAAAAAATTCCAGAGCCCACAGCGCCTCGGTGAAGAAAATACTTCGCTACGGCAAAGCCTGGGACTTTTCGAATTCCACTTCTTGCACAATGTAGTTTGCTGTTCTTGACCGCGGCGAAAACTGGAAAAATTCCATTTTTCGCCTGGATTCGATAATTCACCTGAAACACCCAAAACCACACAAATTATGCTTCATCTAAAAATCATAAGAAAACTAAACAACTTCAAAACAATAAATAAACAACAACAATTGGAAACACTTGGGTTGCCTCCCAAGGAGCGCTTGTTTATAGTCGAAAGCTCGACTTTCTCAAATCTTCATATCAGAATGTCAAGCCGGAGGGGAATTGACTTGCAACTCATCACTCTGTCGATATATGGCTTCAACCTCTGGCCATTGAACTTAAATGTGTCTTTTTCTTCATGTGACACATCCACCACTCCGAATGGGTAAACTCTTGTAACTATGAAGGGTCCGGACCATCTAGACTTAAGTTTTCCAAGGAAAAGCCTAAGTCTAGAAGTAAACAACAACACTTTCTGACCCACTTCAAAGTTCTTTTTCCTGATATGCTTGTCATGCCACTTCTTGGGCTTTTCCTTGTACATTCTAGCATTCTCATAAGCTTCATGATGGAACTCATCGAGTTCATTCAAAGTCAGCATCCTTTCTTCCCCAATAGCTCGTAAATCCATGTTGAGCTGCTTGACTACTGATAAGAGTGTAATTTATATATTTCTTTATTCCTTCCATATTATATTTTTGTTATGTTTTATGTCTAGTTGAGTTGATTAGAGTCTATTTTGTAAGTTTGGCATATTTGGATAGACTTTATGAAATAAGTGAGAAAAGATTAGGAAATTCCAGATTTTTGTTATTCTGACCAGTGCTGCATTTTTTAGGTTTTACATGGAGTCAGATTTCTCAATTGCAAAAGTGTTCTTCAAAAAAAGTAAATTAGACAAATCAAGCTTTCCAGGAAGGTATTATGGGTGAGAATCTGAGTTCGTTTGGGTCCTCATTAGTTGTTGCAAAACCGGACCTGGAATCCTACTCGTAGAAGGATTCCTGGCTGAGTGTTGAGTCTTCAAATGGGCCTAACTGGAGTTTCAGATATCGAAAGCAGGCGATTCAAAAGCCCAGATTCATCTACACATCTGGGACTAAAATTTTTATGAAGTGATCAAGCCCAGAAAAGTTTGTATACATTGCGAGAATCCTGGTGCAAGCTGGAGACGAATTATGTTTTCCATATCTGATAAGATTTTGACAATTTTGGAAGTCTATCTTTTAGGAAAGATCTAGGAAAGTAATTTCTGTGATTCTTGGGGTAGAATTAAGGAAAACACATGTTATTTATTGATGAGTTGTTAGGTTAAATAGGGGAGAGAGGGAACAGCAGTAGAGTTTAGTTTTTTAGTTTTTTTTACTTTTTACGTCAAGATGTGCAGTTGATCTTTCTTCAGTTCAAGGGGATTTTGAAGCCTAAATTCATGTCATTGGTGTAACTTAACTTCAGTAACATTGTTCTTAATCTCGTTTTTATTGGAATTGTTTATGTTATTCTGTTTTAATTGTTTATGAATTGTGTTTGAGTGATTTAGTAATGGCCTGCTGAATTGTTTAATCAAAATTTTATCTGTTAGAATTAGGAATTGTGATACGTAATTGTCCTCTTTCTATTCAATGATTAACACATGATGATAGATGATTACGGATAAGTTTTCAGTCTGTTATCTTGAATAACATAACCTAGGTTAAATAATCCAAACTTGCGTGATTGTTGCTTGGATTGATCTATTTTCCTAATTCTTAAGGTTGCCATTGAATTAAACTTAGAGAGCTTATTCTAGGTTGTTCAAGGGTTAGGATCTAACTGAAGAGCTTATTTCAGTAGTGACAATTAAGGGAAAATTCGGGTAACAGAGCTTGTTGTTTCCTAGAGTCAATAATTCCATAATAACGAGATAGAATAATGTTACGGTTAGTTCATATCCAATGCATGTTTAGGTGGATCTTGAACCGAGAACTGGTAGTTTTTAATTTGATATTTTCTACCATTGGAGATTTATCTGTTTCACTTTCGATTGCATTGATGACAACCCCTTTCATTATTCTGCTGTCGTGTTTACTGTTTAGGATTTTATTTTATTTTCCTGTTGTCTTCGTTGTGGTTATTGGCATAGAATATAGGATTTAATCGAATCATTCCCTGTGGGATCGACCCTTGCTCACCCTATGTACAATTTAGTAGTTAGGTTAGTAAGGTTAATTAATTTTGTGCATTTGGCAAGCTACCAAATTTTGGCACCGTTGCTGGGGAATGTTCTTTGTCGATTATTTTTTATGTTCTATGTTCTTTTGTTATTTCATTTAATCAGTGTTTAGTTGTGTGTGTGTTTTTTTTTTTTATTCAATTGTTCAATTGTGATTTTGTTTTTTTTTCAGGTTCTTGAAAAAAAAAAAAAAAGAAGAAAAAAAATTGTGAACAGTAGTACTATTCAACATGAACAGTAGTACTATTCCTAAGAGAAATTTTGATTGAATTAGGAGTGCTGTGACTACCCGTTTTGAAGAAAACGAAATTCTGAGCAAGACTAGAAATGATTCTAGCCCTACCCTCTCGTCATCAAATTCGATCATTTAATAGGGTTTTTGGCCAGTTTTAGTTTCTGTCAAGAAAAAATTTTATTTTTTATTTTTTTTAATTTTTAATTATTAGTTTTTATTTATTTGGGCTTAATTGGTGATTTTAGTGGTTTATGACTCGATCCAATTTTACAGGAGAGTTGGAATTTGATCCAGAAATCGAGCACAGTTTACAGAGGTTGCAAAAAGAGGCACGTCAAGCAAGTTCTTCATCTCCTTGTCTCAATATAGCCCTTGGTTCAGCATCCCACAGTTCATCCAGTGATCCAAATTCAGAAATATAAGAAGAGATGGCTGCTGGCAGAACATTAAAGGAGTTGGCTGCTCCTAATTTTAATCAGCAGCCTTTGTGTATTCAAAACCCTACTTTAGATGTTGCTTTTGAACTTAAGTCTGGTTTAATTCACTTGTTGCCTACATTTCGTGGTCGTGCAGGTGAAGATCCAAATAAACATCTAAAAGAGTTCCATATAGTCTGTTCAAGCATGAAACTAACAGGGGTGACAGAGGAGCAGATTAAGTTGCGAGCTTTCCCTTTTCCATTGGGGGATGATGTAAAGGATTGGCTCTATTATCTACCATCGGGGACAGTCACAACATGGAACGAGATGAAAAGGCTGTTTTTAGAAAGATATTTCCCAGCCTCCAGAGCTGCCACCTTCAGGAAAGAGATATGTGGTATAAGGCAATATAATGGGGAGACATTATATGAATATTGGGAGCGATTCAAGAAGCTATGTGGAAGCTGTCCTCACCACTAGATAAGTGATCAGTTGTTAATTCAATGTCTCTATGAAGGGTTGCTGCCTATGGAAAGAAACATGATAGATGCAGCAAGTGAAGGTGCATTGGTGGATAAAACTCCTGAAGCTGCCAAACAGTTAATCTCAAACATGGCTGCCAATTCCCAACAGTTTGGTACAAGACAAGATGCACCCAAAAGGGTGAACGAGGTAAGTATATCTTCCATTGAACAACAATTATCTGATCTTACCTCTCTTGTTAGACAATTGGCTGTAGGGAATGCACAACATATAAAAGCTTGTGGGATATGTTCGACAATGGGACACCAAATGGACATGTGCCCAACACTTCAAGAGGAAGGGGCTGAGCAGGTTAATGCGGCATGAAACTTTCCTAGACCACCTAGGCAGTATGATCCTTACTCCAACACATACAATCCAGGTTGGAAGGATCATCCGAATTTCAGTTATGGAGGAAATAGACAAGTAGGAGGTGGACAAAATTTCTTCTAGAATAGACAACAACAAGGGTTTCAACCGAAGCAACTTACCTCACAGAGTTCAAACTCATCCCTGGAAGATATAGTTAAGTTCCTTGCTTTGAATACCAAACAGTTTCAACAAGATACAAGATCTAGTATTCAGAGTTTAGAGAATCAGATGGATCAAATGGCAACTGTTATAAGTCGTTTAGAGGCTCAAGTTGGAGGGAAGTTGCCTTCTCAAACAGTGGTGAACCCAAAGGAAAATGTGAATGCAGTGACGCTAAGAAGTGGCAAGAAAGTGGAAGAACCGAAGCTGAACATTCCAAGTGTGGCAAAGGAAGCAGAAATTGAAGATGAAATTGAGAAAGAAGAGGCTACAACTGAATCAAAGGTAATTCCTAACCCTTCAATTCAACTTCAATCTAATACTTTACCTTTTCCTAGCAAATTCGCGAAGTCAAAGAAAGAAGAGAAGGATAAAGAAATTTTGGAGATGTTTCGCAAGGTGGAAGTGAATATACCTCTATTGGACGCAATTAAGCAAGTGCCAAGGTATGCAAAATTTCTTAAGGAGCTATGCACCAATAAGCGGAAGTTGAACGGTGATGAAAAGATAATAATGGGAGAAAATGTGTCAGCAGTTTTCTTTGGAAAACTTCCTCCCAAGTGCAAGGATCCAGGTATGTTTACAATTCCTTGTAAGATAGGTAACACTAGAATTGAGAGAGCTATGTTAGATTTAGGAGCTTCGATTAATGTTATGCCATGATCTATTTATGCTTCATTAAATCTAGGTCTTGTGAAAGATACTGGTGTTATTATCCAATTGGCTGATCGCACTAATGCATACCCTGAAGGGGTAGTTGAAGATGTTCTTATACAGGTTAATGAGTTAGCGTTTCCTACTGATTTCTACATTTTGGATATGGATGATTCTTCTTCTCCTGACCTTGTACCTATCTTACTAGGAAGACCATTGCTAAATACAGCTGGGACACAAATAGATGTTCATGATGGTACCCTCACGATGGAATTTGATGGTGAAGTAATTCGTTTTAATATTTTTGATGCCATGAAATATCCAACTGATGTTCAGTCTATTTTTGCTATTGATGTTGTTGATCCTATTGATTCCATAGTACAAGAGATCTTTGAGTTAAAAAATGAAGATGAGTTAGAGGTTGCCCTTCTCAAACATGTGGAATCAGAGGAGAAAGGAGAGATAGAGCTCAGTGAAGAATTGAAGGAGACAGTGGCAGCTTTACGTTCTTTAAAACCGATTATAGAAAGGTATGGAGTTTCTTTTATAAAGTTGCCTGATTCTCACTAGAAATTATTGCCTTCTGTTTTGCAGGCCCCTACATTGGAGTTGAAGCCATTACCGGGCCATTTGAAGTATGTGTACTTGGGAGAGAATGGGACACTGTCGGTAATTGTGTCGAAGAAGTTAACACCCAATCAAGAAGAGAAACTGGTTCGAATGCTGCAGGAGCATAAGGAAGCGATTGGCTGGACCATAGTTGACATTAAGGGGATTAGTCCTTCCATATGCATGCATCGAATTTTGCTTGAAGAAGGTGCCAAACCGACACGGGAAACGCAACGTAGATTAAATACCCCAATGATGGATGTGGTGAAAAAAGAAGTCCTAAAGCTTTTAGATGCTGGGGTAATTTATCCGATTTCTGATAGTAAATGGGTAAGTCCAATGCAAGTTGTCCCCAAGAAATCTGGTGTTACAGTTGCGAAGAATCAAGACAATGAGTTGGTCCCTACACGTGTTCAGACAGGCTGGCGTGTGTGCATTGATTACAGGAAGTTGAACTCAACAACTCGAAAAGATCACTTTCCACTTCCCTTTATTGATCAAATGCTTGAGAGATTAGCTAGTCATATTTACTACTGTTTTCTTGATGGATTTTTAGGGTATAACCAGATTGTCATAGCACCGGAGGATCAAGAGAAGACGACATTCACATGTCCATTTGGTACTTTCTCTTATCGCCAAATGCCATTTGGTCTTTGCAATGCTCCCGCTACATTTCAGCGATGTATGGTAAGTACCTTTTTAGAATATGTTGAGTCAATTATAGAGGTTTTTATGGATGATTTTAGTGTTTATGGTGATTCATTTGATCAATGCTTGCATAACCTTACACTAATTCTAGACAGATGCATGGAAACTAACCTTGTTCTTAACTGGGAAAAATGTCATTTTATGGTAGAGCAAGGTATAGTTTTATTGTTTCATCCAAGGGAATAGAGGTTGATAAGTCTAAGATAGATTTGGTTACAGCTTTACCTTACCCCGCCAGCGTGCGGGAAGTTCGATCTTTTCTTGGCCATGCAGGTTTCTATCAGAGATTTATCAAGGATTTTTCAAAAATCGCATTGCCCATGCCACAAAAAGATGTGATTTTTCAGTTTGATGAGCAGTGTAAGGAGGCATTTGACAAGTTGAAAACATTGTTGATGACAACACCAGTGATACAACCACCTAATTGGGATCTACCTTTCGAAATTATGTGTGATGCAAGCAACTCGCATTAGGTGCTGTCTTGGGTCAAAGAGTTGGCAGAGCGTGTCACACTATTTATTATGCATCCAGGACCTTTGAATGGCGCCCAGCTCAATTATTCTACAACTGAAAAAGAACTTTTATCTGTTGTTTTTGCTTTAGAAAAATTTTGGTCATATTTGTTGGGTGCTAAAGTCATTGTTTTTTCTGATCATGCAGCTCTTAGGTACTTGCTCACAAAGAAGGAGGCAAAACCAAGGCTAATTATATGGATTCTTCTACTCCAGGAATTTGATTTGGAGATTAAAGATAAAAAGGGAGCAGAGAATGTTGTAGTAGATTACCTTAGCCGTTTGGTTCGTGACAACGATGAGATTCCTTTGCGAGAAACATTTCCGGATGATATTGTTAATTTTTTAGTTACTAACGTGTTGCCAAATGATTTGACTAAAGCTCAAAAGGACAAGATCAAGAGTGATGCTAAGTATTATGCTTGGGACGATCCATATCCGTGGAAGCATTGTGCTGACCAAGTGATAAGAATGTGCGTATCTGAACATGAATTTATTCCTATTTTAACCTTCTGTCATACCTATGCATGTGGAGGACATTTTGGACCATAGAGGACAGCTCGTAAGGTATTGGAATGCGGTTTTTATTGGCCATCGTTGTTCAAGGATGCCTACATGTTCTGTAAGTCATGTGATAATTGCCAAAGAGTAGGAAACATTTCTCGTAGAGATCAAATGGCACAATCTCCTATATTTATTGTTGAAATTTTTGATTTTTGGGGCATTGATTTTATGGGTCCATTTCCTATTTCCTTTGGTAATGTTTATATTATTTTAGCTGTTGATTATGTCTCCAAATGGGTGGAGGCGAAAGCCACCAGAACTGACACTTAAAAGGTTGTTGCAGATTTTGTTAAAGCTAACATTTTTGTTAGGTTTGGGATACCAAGGGCCATAATCAGTGATAAGGGCACTCATTTTTGCAACAGGACAATAGAGGCATTGCTTAAGAAATACCATGTCACACACAAGGTCTCCACATCGTACCACCCACAAACCAATGGCCAAGCAGAGGTATCAAATAGAGAGATCAAGTCAATTTTGGAAAAGACAGTGAACCCAAACAGGAAGGATTGGTCTTTGAGATTAGATGATGCATTATGGGCATACAAAATAGCATATAAGACACCTATTGGCATGTCCCCATACAGATTAGTGTTCGGTAAGCTGTGTCATCTTCCAATGGAATTAGAGCACAAGGCCTATTGGGCAATCAAGCATTGCAATATGGAAATGAAGGAAGCTGGCATTAACAGGAAGTTGCAATTGCAAGAACTTGAGGAGTTAAGGAATGATGCCTATGAGAGTTCACACATCTACAAAGCAAAGACTAAAGCCTTTCATGGCAAGATGATCTCCAGGAAGAATTTTTCTGTTGGACAGAGGGTCCTTCTTTTTCATTCAAGGCTGAAGTTATTTCCAGGTAAGTTACGTTCTTGTTGGGTGGGACCTTTTATTGTGACTAATGTTTTTCATCATGGAGTAGTAGAAATCCAAAGTTTGAAAACAAACAAGGTGTTTAAGGTCAATGGACATAAGCTTAAGCCTTACTATGAAGGGTTCCAAGTTTGCAATATTGAGGAGGTGGGATTGGAGGAGTCAATACATGAGTAGTGAAGACGAGGCAAAGAGTCAGGCTAACGACTTTAACCAAAGGCGCTGCTTGGGAGACAACCCAAGAATTCAGATTTGATTTTCTTTTCCTTTGAATTTAGTTTTTTTTATTTGCCAATTTTTTTTTTTGTTTTATTTACTGTCTCTCGATTTGGGTCTTACATTGGGGACAATGTAAGTTTTAAGTGTGGCGGAGAAGTTAGGCTGTAGGTGTAAGTTTGAAAAAAAAAAAAAAAAAAAAAAAAGAGTTTTTGTTTTTATGAGGGTTTATGCTTTATGTCTTTGAACGTCTAGTGATGCATGAAATAGTAACTTGACTTCGTTATTGAACATATTCCTTGACTTAGGATGTTAGCAATATTTCATAAAATAGAGTTAATCAGATTTGAATCTTTGTAGTTTTGAAACAATATGTGTTGAGAAGTTGTGTGAACTTGGTGAAGAAGCATGATTGAGGAGTGTATAACAACCTTTAAAAGAAAAAAAAAAAAAAAAAGAACAATTGTCTCTCTTAAGCTAGTCCTAAATTTGGGTTTAAGCAAATAGAAAAAAAAATAAAAATAAAAAAGAAAGGTATGTGGTGAGTCGAGATGGAGCGTAAAACGCACTCACTCATAAACACAACCATGAAATGAGATGGAGCATAAAATGCACTCATTTAAAAAAAAAAAATAAAAAAAAAAAAAAAAAAAATAAAGGAAGTATTGCTCAACCTTGAACTGATGATTACTGGGAAGGTTTTTGATTCCCCAAGATACACATATTTGAGGTGGGAAGGTAAAGGTTTCAGCTCAAGCTTTGAAGGTTCTTCCTTTCTTTCCTTTTCCTTCTCTTTTTCAAAATCAAAATCCTCAAATTCTAGATCTTGGATTTCATCAATCATTGAAGTGCTTCCAACAATCTAGCACATTCATTCTTCGTCGACTTATCTACCTCTACTATTTTTGATTGGACAAGCTTCTAAAGGCAGTTGTGGAGTGTTCTCTTCAATAGCCTCTGCTACTAGTTTATCCACCACATCAACACTAAAGCATGAATTCGACTTGGATGGAAACTTCATAGCTTCAAACACATTGAACGTTACTGTTTCATCTTGAACTCTTAATAGTAATTTTCCTTCTTGCACATCAATGAGTGCTCTTCCCGTGGCCAAAAATGGTCGGCCCAAAATAAGAGGCATTTCCTTATCCTCCTCCATGTCCAATACAACAAAATCTGCCGGAAAGATAATCTTGTCCACCTTCACCAACACATCTTCGACTATACCCCTTGGATGTTTGATGGATCTATCTGCGAGTTGCAACGACATGGTCGTTGGCTTAACTTCACCAATTCCCAATCTCCTGAAAACAGAAAAAGGCATTAAATTGATGCTAGCACCTAAATCACATAACACTCGATCAAAGGTAATGTCTCCTATAATGTAAGGAATAGTAAAACTCCCTAGATCTTTGAGTTTTGGGGGTAGCTTCTTCTGGAGAATGGCGCTGCACTCCTCCGTGAGCATCACAGTTTCCTTATCCTCTAACTTCCTTTTGTTGGATAAAATCTCCTTGAGAAATTTCGCGTAGCTCGGCATCTGTTGGAATGCATCTGCAAAAGGAATGTTAATATGCAATTTTCTAAATATTTCAATGAATTTGGAAAACTGCTTAACCTGATTCTTTTTCTTCAGTCTCTGAGGAAACGGCACAGGAGGAGTGTGATGTGCCAATTCTGGTGGTATCTCGGGAAATGACAATTTCTCTTTCCTTTGTCTTTGCCTCACTTCCCGTTTTGGTTCTTCTTCCCTAGAACTAGATGGTTTCTCTTCAGCAACTATCTCTTCATCAACCTCCTCATCAGAGTCTTCCTTTTCTTTCCCTTTGATGGACATTCTTCTTCCCTTGATTTTTCCACCTCTTCCAACATCGTCCCATTTCTCAGAGTTATCGCATTTGCTTGCTCATGTGGGTTAGTCACTGTGTTGCTTGGTAGTAAGCCCTATGGTTTCTCATTTAACTTATCAGCCAATTGACCCACTTGCACCTCCAAGTTTCGAATGGACGCCCCTTGATTTCTGAAATTCGTTCTCATCTCATTCATAAAACCTGTGGTCTCTTGCATAAACTTTCCGAACATGTCCTCCAATTTCGTCACTTTTTGCTCTCCTGATTGATTGTTCACCCCTGTTTGGTTGTTTGGCAATGCTCTTTGATTCCATTGATTGTTCTGCAGATTTTGTTGATTCTGATTGCCCCAAGACAGGTTCGGATGATTCCTCTAACCAGGATTATATGTGTTGGAGTACGGAT